GTGCGATTGTAGAACCGCTAAGTCTGAAATATATCCTGCATAAAAGCGTATCGGTGTCAGAAAACACATGATCTTTTGTTTGATTATAAATAGAAGACGTTAATTAGTACAGAGAGGTCTGAGTTACATGATGCGGCGAAACAAAATCCAAAGAGATTTTGGGACCCGATTCGTAAATACAGAAAAAAAATGTAAAGAAGATATGAACTTGACTGCAAATGATATCTATGAACATTTTAAAAGTTTGTTTCCAAATGATATCGTTTATTCTGACCCAAATACAGAACAAATTGTTCATCGTGAAATTTTAATATTGTTGTAAAGAACTGATTGTGACTTTAGTATTGATGGGATATATAATACTTTAGGAAATTTTAAACGGAAAAAAAGTGCAGGTGAGGATCTGTTACTTCCTTAAACATTTATTGATGCAAGACATATATTAGCACCGATATTATGTAGATTGTTTAACTTTTTATATAGTAGAGGTGCTTATCACGTATCATGGACAAAGGCATTATAGCTCCTGTTCCAAAGAAAGGTGATATATGCAATAAAAAACAAGAATAAAGATCAACATGGTAAAGGCAACGTTCACAGGACGCAGCCCCTCGACATACTCGAGTAGGGCACGCAGAATGCACCAAACAAAAACTGGAGTAAACATAAGGGCGGCGAAAGGAGAGGGACATATAATGTGTGAAGTAATATAAACAAAAACGGGCACATATTGGAATTAAAGGAATAAGGGCTGTAAGAGGGAAAAGGGAGGGGGTAAAAATGGGAGGGGTGTGAGAAAATACCTACTGTAAACGACAATCCAACAAGGCAGACATCACAAAACATGTAAACATAAAAATCAAGTAACAAAACAGACTTGAAGGAACACAGAGGTGTACCTACCGCCTTGGAACAATTATAGGGGAATAATGTTAACAAGCATCTTTTCAAAAATATCCACATTTTAATTTGCCGATAAAAATAACTTATCAACAGATAACAAGGTCAATTCTAATATAATATGATTTTGGGCTTCGGGTGTTAAAAACCTACTACACGAACTAGGTTTTAACAATTTATGGAATAATATGTCTGTCACTAGAGCACGAATATAAAAAGTTGTTGAAATATTATATGTCCAATATTATCAAGTGTTTAATATTACGTTAGATAGTATGCCTACATTAAGTACATGTAAGTACATGTAAGAAAACATTTATATTTCAGGAAAAATATTTATCTTGTATTGTTTCAGGAAAAATATTTATCTTGTATTGTTTATGTTAGTCATCGTATTTTTCTATCAAGAATCAGCATATAAATTAGCAATTGAGGAAGGTAAATTTCGAAATAAAGAACGATCTAATAGAAAATGAGTGTATTGTTATATGAAGGTAGTAGAAGACAAATACCACTTTGTATTGGTCGGTCCCTTTTATAGACGTGAAAAAATGTCTTCCAAATTATTATTGTCATTGGCCATCTCTGAAAAGGTTTAAATGATTACTCGTATTGACTTCAAATCAAACCTGTATTCTGTGTAATCTAGCAAGATTAATCTATTTAGAAAATAAGAAACGTACCGGATAGATATACTTTATTCAGAAACATGTGTTATTTGCATTTCTGAGTACATACATTATTGTACATTTGCATGTATGTGTATTTTACAATGTAGCCATGTGAAACTAATTGATCTCCTGCATTGGCCATTTTAAAAATGGAAACCTTATCTGGCACTCAATTCAATGCAAAATCATAATATCATTACCACCATATACCAGTACAGTATTTATTTATCGACCGATAATTTAGGTCAGTATATCGAATCAATAATGTGTCGTGTTCTTGTTCTTGGGCTTTTCCCGTCATTGATTTTTGTTATAACATTTGTGCCAGATATATTTTGATATAATAATGGTATTACTATTACACACATGATGTCGATGTTTTAATGCTCATGCTCTTGTCATGTTTTATGTAACCGCCGCAATATGTATATAATGAAAATCAATGACCCCCGGGGCAGGGCCAATTTTGACCCGAGGGCCATTATTTGAACAATCTTGGTAGAGGTCAACTTTACATTGTTTCATGCCAAATATCTAACCTGTAGCCTTTACAAATTCAGAGAAGTAGATTTTTTTTAGGTTTTACAATATACATATAAGGAAAAACCTATGACCCCCCAGGGCGGGGCCGATTTTAATTCTAGGAACAAAATTTGAACAACTTTGGTTTTGGACCTATAGATGATACCATAGACCAAATATCAAAGCTCTAGGCCATTTACTTTCAGACCAGAAGATTTTTCAAGTTTTCACTATATGTATATAATGAAAATCAATGACCCCCGAGGGCGGGGCCAATTTTGACCCGAGGGCCATTATTTGAACAATCTTGGTAGAGGTCTACCACACAATGTTTCATGCCAAATATCTTACCTGTAGCCTTTGCCAATTCAGAGAAGAAGATTTTTTTATGTTTTACTATATACATATTAGGAAAACCTATGACCCCCCGGGCTGGGGCCAATTTTGACACTAGGGACAAAATTTGTACAACTTTGGTATTGGACCTTCAGATGATACCATAGACCAAATATCAAAGCTCTAAGCCATTTACTTTCAGACCAGAAGATTTTTCAAGTTTTCACTATATGTATGTCATGAAAATCAATGACCCCCCGGGGCGGGGCCAATTTTGACCCTATGGCCATTATTTGAACAATCTTGATAGAGGTCTACTACACAATGTTTCATGCCAAATATCTAATCTGTAGCCTTTGCCAAATCGGAGAAGAAGATTTTTTTAGATTTTACTATATACATATAAGAAAAAACCTATGACCCCCCGGGGCGGGGCCAATTTGACACTAGGGACAAAATTTGAACAACTTTGGTAGAGGACCCATAGATGATACCATATACCAAAAATCAAAGCTCTGGCCCATGTACTTTAAGACAAGAAGATTTTTTAATTTTGTGTTTTTTGAAATCCTTTTCTGGCCCTATGACCTACATATGCAACAGACCGGAATCATTTGAACAACTTTGAAAGGGGACCACCCAAGGATCATTTCTGTAAAGTTTGGTTGATGTGCAGTCATTGGTTTAAGAGGAGATGTTGTCAATGTTCAAAAGTTGACGACGCACGACGCACGACGCACGCCGCACGACGACGGACACAGGGCCATCACAATAGCTCACCCTGAGCATTGCTCAGGTTAGCTAAAACGTATCGCTTCCAAATTGTGAAAGCTCGCCGGTGATTGGCTGTTTGAAAGGTCATGAGAAGGTGACAACCTTTTGGTGGTCGTCAGATCCTAATGCGTAGGGTTAATTAAGAGCTGATTTAATTAGATTGAGCGGAATTCTGGCGGATAGCAGCTTTAAAGATTTAGGGTAGCTTTTAATTAAAACAAGTACTTAACATTTATTCATTTGTTTGATGAAAATGATATCTGCGTTAATGTTCTGTAATTTGATGCATAGTAATTTATTGATAAAACTGACTTGAAGGCGGTTGAATTCATTTTTGTTCTCGTGCCAAACACTATGTGACAAAAATACGCACGCATATTAAGAACATTAGTGAAGTTGATATTTTGCCAAATTTAGTGTTTTCAGTTTATAAACATGTCAAAGAAGTTACATATAGACATTTGTTAATAATGTTAACAGTACAGAAACACTTATAACATTTTTGCATGATTTTAGAGTAAATTGACAGAAAGATTTTAAACAAAAAAAACACTGGAGGTCAGCAGACTCGTTATCGAGTAAATAATCAAACTTGTAAACAAATTTACCTTTCTTCTATATTTTCGCCTTTATGCACATTTTTTTTCGAAGTTAACGTTTTGCAAGTACATTTTAGAAAAAAAAGTCGAAATGTCAAGTCAATTTAGGGGGTCTAAGTGTCTTAGGGGTCAAAGTGTCATGGGTCGAGATGTCATAGGGGTCGAGATGTCAAGGGGTCGAGGTGTCAAGGGTTCGAGATGTCACAGACTCGTTGATTAACGGAGGATCCTCAATTTCCACCCTTTGCCAGTGCAGATATTTGGACGTAGAACAAAGATTAGAATGACAGTATTCATAATCAAAAGAATCAAGGCAATAACTAAGATGATAATAACGGTAAAGTTACTGTTGTCACAGCCATTCGATTCAGATATGTGTTTCTCTGTGTTAGGCGTTACGTAATCTGAAAAAAGGTAATGAAATTTCAACTTATACTTGAAGAAATTTATTAAAAAAATCGAGTTGTTTATTTCTACTCTATGTAACATTATATATAAGCTTGTTTCTTTTTGAAAATCGAATAATGCGAGTGTTGTATTATTGTAGACTACTTTAAGTACTAAAATGAAAGATCAGTATATATCGTTCATATAAAACATTTGTTTTAATACATACTGTTGTTACAAACTTTCGATTCAGATATGTTCTTATCAGTATTCGGCGTTGTGTAATCTGGAAAAAGGTGTATTTTGTACATTTAACTTATAATAATTAAACAAATTGAGGTAAAATATATAAAAGCACTGATTGGAGATGACGCCATATTTAGGGATATAAAGTTCCAGTGTTCTTGATATTCATTATTGATATAAACATTACAATTTCAAGTTTCTTTCAATAAGAACTACAAAAAACTGTAATGCAAAATAAAGCGTGTAATTGTATCAATGCATTGTCAATGTTAACTAGACAGTTAAATTCATTTTCGCCTCAAACCCTATAACTCATAAAATGGCATTAATTCCGTAATTACATTACGTGTAAAAAACATAAAAAATATGTTCGCACGTAATTTAGCAGTTGAATCAAAGGAAAATTATAAATGTCAACTGCGGGGTAAAAAGATGTGCAAATGGCTACTTACATATATTTTTAAGGGACTTATGAAAATGTGATTTCAATAAAACTATGAGTTAACGATCATTTGCTGGCCTACAATTTTTAAAAATGAAGAAATAAAATCAATATTTTACATACAGGGGCATTCTTTCTGGCAGAATTCGGAGGGAATACTAGTACATATATACGAACATCTGTAGCATCGAAACCCATTCCAATACATGTCGGTGTCACACATCAGTAATGAATCTGTAAGATCACAAGTTAGATGAACGTATCATTAAGAAGAAATTTTGAAAATAAGAAAATAAAACTAAATGGCAAGATGTATAAAATAATATATAAGAATGTATAAAATGATTTGGCGAGTATTTTAGTAACCTGTCTTAACTATCTGATAACCAAAATAAATGTGCATGTAATTTCAATTTCTTCTATCTGCTAAAAATTCAAATAATTTAGCACTTAATTTTAAGTGTCTATTTTTCTAACAGCTAAACATAATTGTAACATCTTTCTAACTGATAATAAAATGATTGTGCATTTAGTTTCTGTGACATTACTTCTAACTGCTGCACTGTAGTTATAATTTGAGTGACCTTTCTTTTAACAACTCAAAAAGAAGTGCATGCAATTTTAGTAACATTTTAACTGCTAAACAAAACGTTTCTGCATGTCATTTTATTGACGTTTAATTTATCTCATAATGATTTAGCATGAAAAAATAGAGCATTACCTTAAGCTTCTTCAAATAAAATCACACGTATTATATCTAAGTTGTATTTCTTTAATCTGCAAAGTAAAATGAACTTGACTGTAACTTTCAAATCATCTTACCTCTACAAAAAATTTTAATGAAATGTCCAATCTCACCACTACTATAGTTCTTTATCAAATGTTCCTTGCTTGTTGAAAGTCTTGCCCAAACAGCTGGTGGATCTGTATCCCCAGCAAACACCACAAACGTTTTCTTTCTTTTTAGCGCTTTTACATTTTGTTCCTCCATCTCAGAACATTCATCTACGACAATGAAGTATTCTTCAGCCAAATTTGTATTTGAAATATTAGAAACTTCATTTTTGATGTTTTCAAATAAATCGGATACATTTTTATATTGTCCTGGTTTATCAAATGCCGCTAATTTTATTACCCAAGTATCATTCGAACGATCTTTTTTAAAATGAAGGATTGTACCTTTGCCAATCACTTTCAAAAGTATTATTGAGTTATCCGGAATTTCCTTGATTAAGTCTGCAATAAAGTATTTCTGTTGATAGAAGAAATCGGACTTGTGTGCCTGTGTTTCCCATATGATAACTGCCTTGTAAGGTTTGCACACTTCTGGCTGTACGCCTGAAATGATATTCAAATATGAGAAAAACCGAGTATTGTTATCAATATTCAATATGGTTTCAGTAAAAGGAAATTTGATAAATAGTGTACATGTTTTAACGTAATGACCGAAGACTTACTAAGCGTCGTGTTTTAAGACGTTAATTATATTATAATTATGAAAAGAATAGTTACTTAGTAGGCATGTATGCTTTTACGTATCATGACGTCATAATAATAAAACATCTTAAACATAAAATACGTAAAACATTACAAATGGATAAAGGAGATGTGTTTGTTTTTATGTAAGATGAAATTTTATTTCATCGCGTGAGTTTAAAAAACAGTATTCACACGGATGGCGTACCCACGAGTGAGAATATGTTTTTTTGAACTTCACGAGATGAAATTAAATAACATCTTACACACAAAAGAATCGTTTTATCTTATGTTTAAATACAAGTTTAAATGAAATTTCCTCGATATCACCTTGAATTCCAAATTGTTTTCCCCACTTGTACTCCTCAATGAATTCTTGAGCAAGAACGTATTCCAAAAATCACCATTAAGTGATGATGAAATTATCTATTTTATACCTAAAACGAATGATCGCTTGTTTTAATAGTTAAAACAAACAATTCTAGAAGAAAACAAAGTTACAGCATGCCGAGATTATTTATGTTATTATTCGCGGACGTTTTTATTAGTCTTTCATATGAAATTTCACGAGAGGAACAAATAAAATGAGATTGATTCAGAGGGATTTCATTGGATTTGTTAATTCTACATACATTTTCAAGAGAAAAAACTTATTTGAGGATTGTTAAAGCAGCACGCCTCCAGAGGAACATTTTAAAAATGTTTTATAAAGTATATAACTATTGTGAAGTGAAAAAAGAAAGAAAATATCTTTAACATGGCAAACAGCACTTACAATCCATTTTAATGACCAAAAAGGAGGTCAAAATATGATAAAATAGCCCTTACTGCGTTAGAAACGCAATAGAACTAAGGTCGACAAATACTGCAAAATCTGTCATAAATCGCATATAATATGGAAATTATTACTTTTATCTTGAATCATTTTACATTTTATTTAAATCTCAATACTTTTGTTCCAAAATCTGGAAACAAAGTGATCCATCGGAAGCATCAGTCACAACAAAATTCCATGAAAAAAGCAGACTCGGTTTGATTGAGCCTGTACATGAGGAATAATGTATAAGTGCAACATCCCTAACGCCCCCAGCACCGGCTTGAGCGGTTCTCAATTCTCAACAGTTAATAGTGCTGGCAAGTTTGGTTTTAATAAAATACTTTGCATCTGGAGGCATGCAGCTTTAAAGACAATAAATAATTGTTGATAACTGATTAAACATTCGAGAAGCCGCTTGGAATTTGGAAAACATGGAATTTTGAAAGGCTTTCTTTACGAACGCTGAGTTGTTATTGTTGTTGTTTTCCTTCTGTCTGGTGAATGTAATTGCTTTTACACATTGAATTACAGTAATTGCTCGTAGGATACTTAAATATGCCAAAATGTCATCGAAAGCAGTTTTGCATGTGGAAGGAAGTGCATTTTTCAGACTGTTGAAATGAAATATAAAAAAGATTAGAGATTGGTAAACTGAATGAATTGAAGTAAGTTCTTTTCTTTTTTTACAGTGTTTATTTTTTTTATCCCTTTCAGCTTTGGTTTGTTCTAAAAAGCTTCACTCCGACAATGTCGGAATTGTTAGCAAAAATAAAATTGAGGTAACACTTGGGGGAAATCTTTAAAAAGTAGTTCCTTTAATGAATGGTGTGAAATTATATTTTGTTAATTTTCACTGTGAAATTATCATATACAATTTTCACGGGTAAATTAGTAATTCACTGAAAACTATAAAATAAGTTATAACTTTGGTCATTTCACAAAGCTGTATGAAATTGAAATGTCAGTTTTATGCTTATTTAAACGAAAAGTACACATTCTGATTATATGCTTAAACAGTCAATTAAAATTAAAAAAGGATGTTTATTTTAGTAATCTTGAGCTTTTCTAAAAACAAAACAAAAGTGTTTACAAACCTTTCTGAATTAGCAAATTTTCAATTTATTATGGTCTACACATTGAAACGATCATATAAATGCTAACCTCTAAAGAAACACAGAGACTGCATTACTTTTAAATATATTTATCTGACAGATAACAAAATCACAAAATGACATAGAATAGCAAAGTCCCACCTGTACTTCAGTACTTGATTTTGAAATCAAATGGTTTTTGTCGTACATTTTAGTAGATTTTAAACAATTTATAATCTTTTGTAATTGGGATACGAGTTAACACTTTTTAATTTAGCTCTTGCACTAATAAATTTAGATTTGTTTGACAAGTACCTTAACTCCGGTAAAACATGTGAATGAATAATAATGTGCTTATTAAGGTTTTTATCTCCTACGTACTAGAAATGATGTCCTATGTAGAAATTACAAAGTCCTACTTACGAGTAATAAAACTCATAATTAGGCTTTTTTCTCTCCTACTTAGGATTAATCCTTTTCATAGAACATAAACAAAATGGCACCAGGACGCTAAAAAAATGTTATATAGATATTGTCTTATCTTGTTTAGTAACTTAACATAGTTTCAACTGGTAGGGCCTTTATGTTATGCCAACATATAACCATAATCTTTTGAAAATAAATTAATCTATTTTTTTGCGTATTATTTAGTGACTTCGATATTTTCTATTATTTATTTTTTTGTATTCGTAAATAAACTTTACATTATATGTTGTAAATTCGTCGCAAAGTCATGTTTATGCCTTTAAAGTATTGATTCTATTCATGGCGGCATGGCCTAGTGGATATATTAACACATCGCGCTATCTAAGGATTGCTCATACTCTGTTAGGGACAAGCCATTGTTTCCTTGGGCAAGAAAGTTTACATTCATTTCTTAGTCCTGTTTGGTTCCAGAAACGGATTCAAGACTGTTTCAATAAGCATATATTCCTACACAATTTAAACTTAATTTGTAAAAACTATTGAATCTTAACAGCATTTATCAGCCTTAAATATCATTCCAATTGAATTCGCTTATTTTAAATGATCTTACACACACAGGTAGAAAAGATATTTACCTTTATCTCCATTTACAGCTGTGATCAAAAACAGTAACATCATCATCCAAAACATCCTAGACAAATTTCCTAACCACGATACAGATACTCTTACAATATAAAATTTTCGTACCAATGATTTTGCTTAAATACGACTTATTTTAGGATATAAGTCATTCAATATATATTTTCTTGCAACACTGCAAAGAAGCATATAATATAAAATATATCAGCAGAAGTATATTACATTGTTTTTTATTATACACGTGTGTTTATCTATGACAAAATGTAAAAGCTAGTGTATTGATGTGTAGATAATATTTCTGTTGTATAGTAGCAAGAAAACGCACAGATGTTTCACATTTTAATACTATATAGATATACAGCCTATACAAATCAACTACCAAATTCAAACCCCCCAGACTGGGTTTTTAGATAACAGCTTTCACATAAATTGTTATGAAATAAGTATTTGTATCATAGTTAGGGAACATTTCTGTTGAAAACGTGACAGAGTTAAATCGTATACATATACATGCACAGTGCGTTAATGAAGTGCAGGTATTAGTTACCCGCACTCAAGAGCATGCCCATTGATTGGTTCATTTTGTCAGGGGTTTACATATTGTGACGACAAAGAAAGGGCAAGCGATGGAAATATCATATTCAGATGCCCGTTCATTGGTTACTTTTTTGTTGGGTTTTATAATTATTGTGGTATCAGGGAACGTGTTTTTATGTTTGACTATGATACAAAAGAGAAAGAACATCAAAACACTCGGCAATCTGATTTATAAATCAGATAGCCTC